GAGGGTAAGCTGTCGGTAGGCTATTTGATAGGACTACTGGTCTGGTGGGCTGCTATTTGCCTATATAACATATGACCCAAGCTAGACCAATTGAACAAATTCCTTTTTTTTTTTTTTTAAGATTTTTAAGTAATCTCTACACCCAAGGTGGGGCTCAAACTCACAATCCTGAGTACTCAAGTTACTTTGCTCCACCAACTGATCTGGCCAGGCAATCCTGGACAAATTCCTCTTTTGAATTTGAATCTTGGAATAGGGTGATGAGACTATGGGGCGGGGCGGGGGGGGGGAAGATTGATCTCTAGATTTACTGCTGGTGCAAGAAAAGATATTCGTATCTTCTTTTCCCCTGGTTTCTGACATTTCTGGTCTGATTCTCTAGTCTTCTTGTTGATTCTGTGAGTTTCTCCCTATCATTTCACTTCTTCCCAGAGTCTATCCTTGTTGCTGGCAACCCGAGAGCCCTAAACGGCATGGCCACCGATGAGGAAAGGAGCACTCATCCTGGGAGCGTGGAGGCAGAGGCTCTGTGAAATCAGAAAGGCCGTGGGCAGAATCTCTTCATTTTGGAAGGGCTTTAGCTAGGAGACCCTCTAATCTCATCCTCATCCTATGTCCCGTAGGCCAAGCCAATTTTATTGGGGTAGTTTCGGATTTGAGACTACTCTTCCTGCCTACTGAAGGTTCTCAGCCCCAGGTCAGCAAAAGCCCACACATGCAGAGTGTTTTGATTATCAAATGCTGTGTAACAAACCACTGCAAAATGCAGTGGTTTAAAGCATAACCATTTTATTATCTCTCATGATGCTATAGGTTGATTTAGCTCAGTGGGTGGTTCTTCTGTTGGTGGTAGCTGTAGCTCCCTGAGCCCCCAGGGACTGGAATGTGCAAAAAGGCTGACTCATAGGGCTGGCAGTTACGGACTTAGCTGGGATCTTAGCTGGGGCTGTCGACTGGAGTGCCTCACTTTTTTTTTCATGTGGCCTCTCCATGTGGTGGCTTGGGGTTCCCATAACATGGTGGCTGGGTTCCAGCAGGAAGGAAGTGGAAGTTGCCAATCATCATAAGGCATGAGCTGAAAGTCCTACCATATACTTTCCACCGTTTCCATTCATCAGACAGTTCTAGAGCAACCCCAATTCAAAGAGGAGGAATTAAAGTCTACCTCCAGATGGAGAAGTAGCTTGTGCAAACAGGAAGGAACGATAGGAGGTATCTTCCCAGATGCCTTACTAGAGCATGTCACTCATGTGGCTTAGATTTTAAGTCTAGGATAGTGTTTCCCAGATGTCGCTCAGTACGGGATTATGTACCGGTTCCATGAACACCCTACCAAAGTCAGTGCAGAAGTTGCTTCCTCCTGGAAGCCTTTCCTGATACCCCTTGAGTTAAAAGCTCTATCTATTCTTGGGTTCTCAAACAACTTGTATGTATTTTTAAAACATTTTTTGTTTGTTTTTTATTTTAAAAAATGCTTTATCAAAATTCAATGCAGTTAACATATTCTGTGTGAGTAGTTTCAGGGGTAGAATATATCACCCAGTGCTCATTCTGTGAAGTGCCCTCCTTAATGCCCATCACTCAGTTACCCCTTCCCCTCCCCACCTCCCCTCCAGCAACCCCAGTTTGTTTCCCAGAGTTCAGTGTCTCTTATGGTTTGCGTCCCTCTCTATTTCTGAACGTGTTTTTTTAATTGTTAATATCAGCTCCACTTTCTGTGAACATACATATTTTTATATATGTATATCTTTTGGTTACATAAATGAACCCATTTATTATAGGCTAGCAGTGTCTCAAGTGATGGAGCTTCTACTGGTCTCCTGAGTCCTTCAGGCGTCCATGGCCACCTTTACCAGGATGGCAAAAGCAGTGCTGGAGATCCACGGAGAGAACCAGCGACCATTTTCAGGCAGGAACCACAACGCCAGAGCCCCACAGCTTCTCTTTTCATCTTAGGTTTTGCCACAGAGGGAGCCAGTGTGCTTGGCGTGCTGGCTCATTTCAATCTTCACCATTTTCCTGTGAGAGGCACCATAATGGTCCCGTATTTACCCTCAGTTCTGACCTTCTTCGGGTGTTTCGTCATGTCACCCCAAACTAAGTCTGAGACCAGAGAGCTGAACATATGTATGACAGATTGATTTCCTTTTTACCTTCTTTCCTTTCTTCTTCTCTCCCTTTCTCTCACAAATATTTATTTTTTATCTTTTTTTTTTTTAAGATTTATTTATTTATTTGGGAGAGAGAGAAAGAGACAGAGAGCAGCCCATATGAGTCGGGGGAGGGCCAGACGGAGAGGGAGAGAGAGAATCTCCCCAGATTCTGCACTAAGCGTGGAGCCAGCTCAGGGCTGGATCCCAGGACCCTGAGGTCATGACCAAGGGTCAGAGGTTTAATGACTGAGCCTCCCAGATGCCTTCTTTCACAAATCTTTAAATTCCTAAGATATGCCAGACACTAATCTAGGTGATTGAGACACTGCAGTAAACTGAACAAATTTCATGACCTCTTGCAACAGTAGGGTTTGGAAGACCCACCCCAAGGACAATAGCAAGCATAGATCTGAATGACAATTGGGAGCAAGCTGGGAGGAATGAAAATTCCAGACCACAAAGGGAACAGCTAGTGAAAGGCCCTGATGCATGCTTGGAAATTTCAGGAAACACCAGGAATGTTGGTGTCTGGCATGGGGTAGGAAATGAGAAAAGATGTATTACCTGAGATCAGAAAGGGAAGCAGAGACCGAGTCAATTAGGGTCTGGGTTTTATCCCAAATGCAATAGGATGTCACTGGAATATGTTCAGGTTGCAAGTGCCATAATTTAGTATATGATTTTTTCAAAGATCCCCCTGGCTACTGTGCAGGGAGGGAGTGCTTTATGGGATTACTAAAGGGGGAAGAAAGGAGAGTGGCAGGACAGCTGCAATTGTTCAAGGGAAAGTTCATGTGGGGTCTTAGCGTTCATCTCTGGGTTCTCAACATCTAACATAGTATTTATTACCTGTCGTCTGATGAGGGAGTGAACCCAAGTAACATATACTGTCTGAGCGAGTACTATTGCTAAACTATGTAGATGGTACTGAGAATACATCAGAAAACGAAAGAGATAGAAGTCCTAGTTTCACGGAATTTTCAATCTAGTGAGGACAAGATATATTAAACGCCATAAGTAAACAAAAATATATGGTATTTCCAATGATAAAAAGTGCTGTGAAGAGAGATGAAGCAGGGAAGAGGGATAAGACAAAGTTGGGACTGCAGTGGTCAGGAATTTAAAAGAGAAATCGGGGCACCTAGTTGTCTCTGTTGGTTGGGCATTTGACTCTTGGCTCAGGTCATGATCTCATGGGTCGTGGGATCGAGCTCTGTGTGGGGCTCAAAGCTTGGTAGGGAGTAGGCTCGAAGGGTCTCTCCTTCTGCCACTACGCCTGTGCTAGTGTGTACGTGTGCTCTTTGTCTCTCTCAAATCAATCGATCAATCAATAAATCTTTATAAAATAGAGAAATCAGGGAAGGTCTCACTGAAGAAGTGACATTTGGACAACGACCATGGGGGGGGGGTGAGGGAGGGAGTGATTTAAACTTTTCAGGGGAGGAGCACCTGGGTGGCTCAGTCAATCAAGGTTAAGCTTCTGACTCCTGATCAGCTCAGGTTGTGAATAGGGAGGTAAGTTAAAAAAATAAACAAAACGCCTATAATAAAAAAACAACTTTCCAGGGGAAAAAGTGAAGTATGTAGAAGTAGCAAATGTAAGGTCTCTGTGGCCAGTGTGTGCTAAGCATGTTGGAAGGGCCCCAAGGAGTCCAGCAGACCTGGAGGACAGTAGTGAGTTGGACAAGAACTGAGAGATGACTGAGATGGGAAAGACAGGTTGTGTGGGGCTTTGCAGGTTACTGCAAAGAATTTGGAGGACAGACATACAGTGACTTGGTTCCTACCAGGACCTCTCCTATTGCTATGTTAAGAAGAGACTCCAGGTAGAAAGGCTGGACTGGAAGGAAGTAGGGAGAACAGTGAGGAAGCTACTGTCACAGCCTGGGTGGGAAATGGTAATGGTAGAGCATAAAGCAGATATTTGGTTATTTTGTTCTATTGGCGCTCAACACACTTAATACCGATTCAGTAGTATTATCTAATATATAGTGCACACTAAAATTTCCCTCCTAAATCCTTTTTACATTAAGGGGAAAAAAAAAACACCTCGATCCAATCGAGGCTCATCTAATGCATCTGGTTCTCATCTCTTTCCCGCTTTGGTATTTTTAAGAGCTCAGGCGAGATGTTTTGTAACATATATCCCACATTCTGGGTTTGTCTGTTTGTTTCTCCATAGTTAGGTTCAGGTTAGCTATTATTTGGGCAGGGATACTACAGAGGAGGCATAATGCCATCCCCATCTCATCGTATCAGGAGACACAGAGTATCAGTTTGATCCATTGCTGGTGACGCTAAGTGGTAGTGCTGGTGATGACATCTTCTGCTTAAGGTGTCTGCCAGCTCTGTCCACTGCAAAGCAAGCTACTCCGTGGAATGGTACATAGTGGAATGATATATACTGAATATACTATTGTCAAACAACCTTTCGCCCAGTGGCTTTAGCATCTAATGAACAACCCGGTGGCTTATGACCTTGTGCCTCAGTTTGCTCCTCCGAACAATGAGGATGACAGTGGTCCCAAAGGGATGCTTGTTTTGAGGACCAGTACTTGGCACACAATAAACGCTCAGTAAATGTTAGATATTACTGGACGAAGGCAAGTGTGACAAGATTAAAGGCAGGGCTAGGGCTGCATTCTAGTCCTCCGGACCCCGCTGCAGCTCCCACGCAGTGAGCGAGCGAAAGCGACGGAAGGATCCACACAGCCACGCCCTGGAGCCCCGGGAGCTGGGCCGGGCGGGGGCACCTAGCGCCCGGGCCGCGCAAGGCCCCCTGGGACCGGTAGTGCTGGGCGTGGCCTAGGGACTACATATCCCGGAGGCCCCCGCGCCGCGGCTCCAGCCGCTGCCGCCTCAGCCCCTCCACAGCGACGGCGGCGGCCGCGGCGGCTGAGTCGGTGGCGGCGGCAGTGGCGGCGGCTGCGGGCTCAGCGGCGAGTTTCCGATTTAAAGCTGAGCTGCGAGGAAAATGGCGGCGGGCGGTGAGTGGAGATAAAGGAGGAGCGGCGGCGGGCGAGGGGGTGGAGTGCGAGGCGGAGGAAAAGAGGGCGAGTCCCTGGGCTGCCGCGAGCCGACGGCTGCGCCTCCGCGGAGGCGCTGAGGGGCGCGCCGAGAGGGGGGCGCGCTGAGATAGTTTCGGGGTGTCGGGGCCGCGTTGCTTCTCCGCCGCCTGGGGCGGCCCGCAGCAGGAAGAAGGGGAGTCGAGGTGGGGCGGCAGCCGGCTTGGGGGTGCAAGCGGGTCTTCTCGCGGAGGGGTCACCCCGACGAGTTTGGGGGGGACCGCGGGGGCCCGCTTTTTCCCCTCCTGTCCCTAAAGTTTTTATCTTCTCCCAGCCCTTAGGGCTGCTTTAGAACGCTCCCCGCGTCGTCCTCCTGCCGCTGCCTCGGCTCCTTCGCAGTTATTCTGAAGAATTAGGGGGCGGGGGAAGCCGTACAGACCCCACCGACCCCCACGCCAGCCTCCAAGTCGCACTCAGAATCGGGTTGCATTTTGTTGCTGTGTTTCCTCCTTCACTTGGGCATTTTTAGTATTTTAACTCGAATTATCTGCGGAATTTTATTTTGGGCACGGGTAGGTTCTCTGCAGTTTTCTCAGTGAAAAGGCATTTTGCTACCTCTGGTGTGAAGGTTGGGAAATGGCAAGTGGGAAGTTGGTAGATCACATTTGGGGTTTGGCTGTCTTTATTAGTCCTGTTTATCCCGTCCGCATCTCTGATCTTACCTTACGTACATTGGTTCAGTTTGTAAGGGTTTAAATTGTCTTGCACATGCTTTAAAAGAAACAAACAAAACCCCACAAAATCCCCCCAAACCAAAAAGCCACGAGCCGTTGGAAAGCTTAGTTGCTTCCAGTTTGGGGGCACTTAGGGTGGAAAAGTTAAACCAAAAGAGAGAGCAGTTCTGAGAGGGAGAAAGCATCGTTTCAGAATCTCACTAAGCAGGAGGAGTTCGGGATTCCAAAATGGAATGACATGAAAGGTATGAAATTCTCCCGAAGTCGAAACTCCCCCCCCCCCCCCCCCGAATGTGAAGACTTCCTTTTTTTTGCAGTTTTTGAGCAGCGCTTCAAAGCCAACCTGTTTTTGTTATTAAGCCTGTACCGTAAAGAAAGAGGAAGGCGAGTACCAGCTGTCTTGCTGCAGTGGGTTTAAATGGATTTGAATGAGATGAGCGAGTGGTAGTAGTATTGAGTGAGATTGCTGCATCTCCTTGATTTAAACGCCTGGTCTCCAATCCACCTAACTGAGCCCTGGCTGCAAGACAGCTTCAGTATGTGTTGCAGCAGGTTGTATGGAGGATGGAAAACAACAGCAAAAAAGGCCCCCACCTCCCCCCCACAAGAAAACAACAGCAAAAAACCCCCCCCCCCCCCCCCCCCCCCCCCCCCCCCCCCAGGTCTTATGAAAGCCCCGTAAACTGTTAAGCGGAAATCTGGAAGTTCATGAAATGTTTGTTCTTGAAAAATATTTAAATTATTGCTCTATTTAGAGTAGATATAACATCCAACTGAAAAGGTACACAAACATTGAAAAATGAGTCTATCCTGTAAACCCTGCAATCCAGGTAATTCGGGTTCCTGGGAGGCAGTGACTATTACTGGGTTTCTAGAGTATCTTTGGTCTTTGGAATAATTAATTATCTTAAGATTTTTATTTGAAACATACTCTTGTTGGGTACCAAAAAACAGGAAAATAAAATGAACAGAAGAAAGGGAAAATGTGATGGGAATATTATTTTCTTATCACGGTCTTGAACAAATGTTGATAGCTCTTAAGAAAAGGCTTCTGAACTTAAGTGCTTATGTTGCCTTATGTACTAACACCCTTAAAGAAGTAACAATCTGTGGGGCTTTAGGATGAAGAAGGCTGCCAGGGTTCATTGTTTGTATGTAAGATGAAGCCTCTAACATGTAAAATGATATTGAACACTATAGCTCCTGTCACTGGAGGTTGCTTCAGGTTCTGCATTTAAATGAGCAGTAATCTAGGTTGCCTGTGATCCTAAATTATAGTGGTATTTCATGTATTGATAGAAGTGAGTTAATTGTCCAATCAGTATTTAAAAAAAAAAAAAGGTATATGTCAGCTTCTAGCCTATAGAACGACATTTTGGACATGAGGATTGTGGAATAAGTGGGAAGCGGTAATGTTTCTAGAGCAGTTTGTAGGAAATATTTTTACCATAAAATATTCCTTACCTACAGAACCTTTGGAAATGCAAAACAGCCTCAGCATAAGTAACAGGATTTCTATTTTTGTAAGTTTTAGAATTGTGGTTTTGAATTTACCAACACTAACAATTTGTTAAAAAAAATTGAGTGATATTAGAATTTAGGCTGCTAGGGATTATATTAAATAATGTCATTATATTTTGAAATTGAGTATACTGTCCACCCCTCCCTCCCATATAAGTGTTACTTATTGGGGTACCTGGGTGGCTCAGTTGTTAAGCGTCAGCCTTTGGCTCCGGTTCCAGTCATGATCCCATGGTCTTGGGATCCAGCCATACATCAGGCCCTCTGCTGTGCAGGAAGCCTGCTTCTCCCTCTCCCTCTGGCTGCTGCTCCCCCTGCTTGGGCTCTCTCTCCCTCTGTGTCGAATAAATAAATAAAATCTTTAAAAAAAATTAAGAGATATCTTATATCAGGGATATATTCTTATCCCCGTATGAGTAGTTATTTTCAATAAATCCCTCCACCCAAATAAATTGGCATTCATTCAGCAGGGAGTCCGTGTACTTTTGGACGCTGGATTCTTTTTCTAGGAGATGCGAAATAAAAAAATGGTTAAAAAAATTTTTTTTGGAAAATATTTTATTTTCATTTATTTGACAGAGAAAGTGCAAGCAGGGAGAGCAGCAGGCAGAGGGAAAGGGAGAAGCAGACTCCCTGTTGAGCAAGGAGCTTGATGAGGGCCCTATCCCCAGATTCCAGAATCATGACCTGAGTGGAAGGCGGTTGCTTAACCAACTGAGCCACCCAGGCTCCCCTAAAAAGTAGTTTTCGAAATGGTTACTTACTAAAGCCTTCTTGACTGGTCTTTTGAAGTAAACTTCCTTACCGTATCAGGGACGTACTAAAGATAAGTTTTTTTTTTTTAATTTAGTCTTTTGTGTATTAAAAACTATATGATTCTAGAGTAGTTTCTTTTAAAGACTACTATGTTTTTGAGAAATTTTTTAAAAGAATAATTTAAAAATATTTTAGTTTGGACAGTAGGGTACGATAAAAAACCAAACTACTATTGTCCTGTGCCAAATTGGCGTTAAAATAAATGGCTTTAGGGTTTCTTTTTGCATTTTTTTAGACTATATAATTTCAAGCCTTGGCCTGAGGATGTAGACTACGAGTATAGCCTCCAGTGGCTGTCTATACTGGAAAATGACCACAATTCAATGCAGTTGTTACTATAATGCTACTTAGGACTAGAAAAATGAGTTGTTGATCATGTCGATGAGTGTCTCATGTAGTTTCTCATAGGTTAATCCAGAGAGGACCTGTCCCAGTTTGGTTTGAACTTATTATATATTCCGTAGTATAGAATTAATTTCTCTTTCTTTCTTTGCATTATTGAGTGGTTAAAGCTCTGAGAGAGAATATTAGTATTGGAAATGTATGTTAACTTTTCTCTTTCTCATAGTTAAATAGATTAAAGAAATAGGTGATTGTATGTTAGTTTAGATTCTCAGGGATAGCTTTGAGATTGAGTACTGCAGTAAAATGTAGGCATTTTCTTCCATTTTATTGAGTGCTTTTTGGGGGTGGGGGAAGGGATTACAAAATGAGCATTTCTCAGTTAAAGTGGAGGAGGGGCTCTATTTGTAATGAGTCTTACTCCTTCATTTTGTTACTGTTTGCTAGGTAAATTCATTTAGCCCATTGCTTTTTCGATAGGGTTTCTGGGAGATTGTTTTGGGTTAAGGGTACAGTTTATCCAGAGTCTAACCTTATTTTCAGCTCCTAACAAATAATGGAATTGACTTGAATTTAATCGCCTTTCCCTTCTGGTGGAGAGTTGTTAAATGAACAGGAAAATGGCCAGAAGATACACAGCAGGAGTTGAGGGGGAAGACCTGTGCTTGTCTAGGAGGCTGATTTATCCATAAACTGCATAATCTTAGACTACATAGTGCCAGTTCCCAACTTTGTCAGCATTAACTCAGTTTGGTAGGTTCTGCCGGCGTAGGTCAGTTTACAGGGGGGCAGTAATAAAGGTTTATTTAGCTGTAGTAAATTTTGTGGCCTAGAGGCAAAGGAAGGACGTCTGATCTATCTATCCCATTTCAAAGAATACTTTCAGTGGACTAGTCTCTTCTGTTAGTCATTTTTCCTATTTTTCATTAGGAATGTCTGTGTCCTGTTTTTTTCTTTTCTATTAATATTTTTTTATTGATACGTTCTAGGAAAATGTGTGACTTTTTTTTTTTTTTTTTGAGTGTAACTTTCCTTGTCTGTTGGTCACCTATGACGGTATTCTTCTGAAATGTTTAATTTGTTTGGTTAGAGGTTATGAGTGAGGGTTCCGAAGTTTCACTTTTTGGAAACTAGGCTGATTAGATTGCTAAATTTAATTCTTCATCATCCATGTAAGGATGAAAAGGGAATGAATATTGGCATGGGTACCACATAGTAATGGATAATCTACTGCTCCCTGGGGCTTTGCTTTTGGTAGCTATGGCAGCTGAGTAGGAGTGGTAGATGGATAGATAGGAAAAGACTGCAGAAGTCAGCATAATCCTCAATTAGGATAAGCCTCATGGTTAATTGAATGTTGAGTGTACAGGTTAAATCCCATTATAACAAACTCCAGGGGACTAGCTAAATTATTTGGTTGTACTGGGATTGAGCTTTTTTGAATATTGTTTGAAATAGATTAGTCTTTTTGTTTTTGTTAGAGGTGTTGGAACAATTTTTATTTATTGTAACAATTTGACTAGTTGTTACTCTTGTACCAAGGTGTTTGATGTTCACTTTCAATGCTAT